TGTCACTCAATTATCTATTTTGAATCGTACAATTTTGATAATACGTCCATTTATAAACAATTAATTATGTTAAAATTGATATTTAATGAAGTATTTAATTCCAATGAAATATCATTTGTTTCGTAACATTTAATGTTGAGCCACAATTTGAATGAAAAAAAAAAAAAAAAAAAATTATATCTCCGACATACAAGGCAAAGATATATAACAACATAATGGAATATTATTATTTTTATAAACAAGATCATTCTCGATTAATTTTACAACTCGAGTACGAAAAGAATACTATCATTCTTTTTTCAACATTTTTGACTCTTATACATTATCATGATCGTATGTAATTTCAAGAGAAATAATTTTACTCAATCGCTAATTCAATTTTACAAATATATATTATACATTAAAATCTTTAGATATTTGTTATTACATTGGCATTGCAATTATTATTTTATTTAAGGAAATCGATCAAATTGTAGGATGATTATGTATCGTAACGATTATGGTTTTGTGAAAAAAACTTTTATTCAATGGATAATTTCACAAGTAAGTATTACATATGAATCTTCAGAGATAATACATGATAGTATGAAAACTTAACGATAACGTCGCAATTATTTCACGAATGAAGATCGATAAAATTGTAGCGTAATTGCTTTTATCATTTTGTTTGTATAGATTGTTAAAAAAAGAAAAAAAAAAAGAAAAAAGAAGAAAGAGAAATGAAAAAAAGAAAAAAAAGAATCAATTTGAAACATCAAGATTAAAGCTAATAAGTAAAATTTTAATATTTATATCGACGGAACTTTTTTGAAACAATTAGCACGATTTGATTTCAACAAACGATTCTTTTTAATTATCCCATTGATATTGTTACGATATCGATGGACCATCAATTCCATGAGAAAAACGAAAATAGCAAAAGCATTGCCTATTGCAAGTATATAAAAACTAAAATCAAGATGTTTAAATTTAAGAACTTTAAATTCGGTCGAGCTCATTATTTTCAATTGCATTTGTTGATGCAAAAACGCGATAGTTTGTTTTTTCCACATAGAGACCAGACCAGCTTCAACTAATCTTTGCAAATATTTATTGAACGTTCTGAAGATCGGCCAATTTTCTCTCGCTATAAACGATGCCACGAATTCTCTTATTTTAGATTTCGAAATGTACAGATTTGTTTCGTTTATTAATCTGTAATGTATATTAAGACATTCCGATATCCATACAGAGTTGCTTGTATTTTTAACTATCTCAAAGCAATCAAAATAAGATGATTCATGAAAACGAGATTCCAACTCTTCACCGACCAAATCTTTGAAACTTATAGTCCCGTATATATCATATCCAGAACCCTATAAAAAAAAAGAAAAAAATAAAAAAATAAAAAAAAAAAGAGAGAAAAAAGAAGACAGATACATTTATCAATTATAACGAAATATAACGTTCGAAAGTTTGAATTAATTAAATTAAAAGAAAAAAAAAAAAAGAAAAAAGAAGAAACAAGAAAAAAAAAGAAAAGGAAAATATATATATATATATATATATATATACCTTAAGATCATCGTAAGTGTCAATGTTCGAATAGAATTGAGGCACCATTAATAATGTATACCATTGACTTTGAAAAACGGCATTTGCGGTTAAGGAGAGTATAAATATCATACAGATATAAATTCTATAAGAATTTATTTTTGGCGGGCGCAATATGGCGACGCATACTACCAAACGTTCTACATTTAAGAAGGCTTCAAAGAATCCATCGATTTTCGTCATGATCAGAAGAGTAATTATGCAGAATATCAACATGCCTAACATGAAGGGTTGCGTCAAAAGCATCATAAATTTTCTTAACTCCGGAACTTCGACACTTGCTTGAGACATAACGCATAAACCAGATTCATCGTGTGGATAGGTATAACTATTGAATTATTAAATTGTATAGTTAATATTAGTTCACGACTATTATTAAAGATGGATTATTATGAAAGAAGGTAAATGAGAAAGAGTAATCGATTATTAAATAATTACTTTGAAACTTTTTGGACCGTCTTGTAAATAATTGAAATAATTACTTGAATAATGACAACGTAATACCTCAGATGCCACATCATGGTGAAACTTCTGGAATTCATTCCTACGTCACAAATACCATTTGCAACTTCTTCTAATAAATCTGTCATACTTCCATATTTATCGATACCACCTAACATAAGATTCTTTACCGTTATATTTATAGTAGTGTTAAGCTTTTTAAGAATCGTTTGTACTATCAAGCTGTCATATCCTTTAAATCTATCCAATCCGGTGATATTATTCTGTATATATAAAAATGGTGGTGTATTTATCGCGCACAATCTTACTTCGTAACCGTGAAATGTATTGACTCGATTAATTTCTTTAAATTCACAAATTGTTGATTCTAAAAAGATTATAATATAATTTATAATAATATTGGTTTCATGATATCAAAGAAAATAATAGAAAATAATTCTAAAGT